CTGGAGTCAGGCAATAATCTGTATCACCAGTGTTTCTGAAGTTTGGGCTCACACCAGTCTCTTTTGTTTCTCTCCTGCAGTCTTTTATCAAGTGATTATTGTGTCTGTTGAATTTCAGACATCTTGGTGGTGTGGGTGGGCAGGACAGCACAGTGTGACCCAAGGACACGTTCCCAGGAGTGCCTCCAGCACTGCCCCATCTGCTGCAGTGTGGAAAATCCGGCATTGAAGATAAAAGTGGAAGTTCTCCCCAAACAAAACCTTTTTTTTTAAAAAAAAAAAAAAAGAAGCAGCTTTAAAGAACAAATAAACAGCCTCTCCTACAACATGGAAAACCTAAACATTATTGTTTTATGCTTGCAACACATGAAGTCATAATGGTAACAGAACTGAAGAACATCTCATTCATGGCAAGGGGGAACTTAAGCCAAAGACAGAGTAAGCCAGACATAGTCAGACTCTTGCCCCCTTTTGCTCCACCTACAATCTGGCATTACTAAGAGAGAAGCAATGTCCAACATGCTGGGGACTTGTTCTATTTATTGTTTTAAACCCAAGCACAGACTAAAAGGCTTTTTGTCATCTAGATCCAAGGCTGGTGGTTACAGACATACATACATACAATTCCTGCCATGCTTCACTGATGTGCAACGGGGCATTCAGACAAGTGGGGAGACAAGACCACTGCAACTCAGTATTTACAAAGTGGGAAGAAGTGCTCAGCAACAGCACACCAATATCCAGGGAAGATTAAAACAGGCTATAGCCATCAACCCAGCAAGCAGGCCAGGGAATGCTGTGGCTGGGAACAGGATGACACAAAGCAAAGAGACCTCAAGGGAAGGGTCAGTAAGGTAGAAAAGAAACAAGATTTGTTTTTTTCATTGACACAGTGATCAACTTTTCCAGGTTACTTGTTGTTTTTGGACCAAGCTGACTTGCAGGAGTTAGACTGGGACCTGGAAATAATGCTCTGCCACAGGGCTCATGGGAAACCATCCAGGGCAAGCTCCAACATGGCTCCTGAGTCAGCAGCTCACAGCAGCAAATGCTGTCGCAGTGTACATTTCCTCCTCCACTCACTCTCAGAGCTAGAAAAACTCCAAAAAGCAGGGTTAGGAACATCATGGCCTGCAGGCTAGGTTTTTTACAGAAACAAGATGACTGAAGCGGGAAAGCAAGGAGGACATGACTAATAAAATATTTAAGAGGGCAAAGAGATCCCACCACACCCACCTGCCAAGCCCAGAGGGTATTTATTTGACAAAGACCAAGCAGCCAGCACAGAGCTGATACTCACCAGCATTTGGCAAGCTGTCCAGCTCATGGGACATGACAGCAGAAACCCACTGAAGAACCTTTTCACTGTGGGCTGGAGAGCCCTACACACATTGCATGCTTTCATCTCCTTCTCTGTTTCCACACCTTCTCAAACCCACCCCACCCTAACTGCCTCAACCAGATGTACCCACTATATTTCCAAATCACCTGAAAACACCAGCTATCCTAGGAAAAGGAGTCTTCCTACTTAAATACATATTCAGAAGTTGCAAAGAAGTCTTGCAAACACATTTGGACTTGGGCTGCTTGATCAATGCAATCTGTCTAGAGTCTGTAGAGATGCAGTCAACCTCAGGTGCCTGATCCCAAGCCCAAAGCAAGCAGAAACCTCCAGCTGAATCCACAAGCTTCCTGCAGTGCACCTCAGCCCCCCCTCACATTATGCCAGAGCCACCAGAAATATTCAGATCACATCTATGAAACAGAAAAATGGTCTTCAGAAGACCACTGTTTCTAGTTCAGAAAAGAATGGATAAATTAGGAAATAATTGATAGGACGATGGGGATGATCACATCAGAGTCTGATAGAACATGTTTTTATAGAGGGATAGCACTGGTATTTTACCTACACACATCATCACCTCCCTGGCCCTTTACAGTGTTCTATTCAGGAATATCTTGAGCATCTTCTCCAAAGCAGGAGCAATGCAGCCCAGTGCAGCTGCTGCTATTGTCCAGTTTAAAAAGTCCCAAAAAAGAAAAAAATGGAGTTTTCCACCAATTCGCTGCAGAGTCTCATTCACATCATCACAACTGGGCTGGCTGTGTTGGTGCTTGCTATCCAGTGAGAGACCAGAGGCAGTGGGAGACCCCAACCTGTTCCCAGGGCACCAAAAGGCAGCGGGAAGCTCTGCCTGTTCCCAGGGCATCTGGGTGGCTCTGCTGCTCCCAAAACAGCAGAGACACACACAGTGCTGGCCAACGTTTGGCTGTGCATCTGTCCAGCAGGACTGAAAGCCTTTGCTTTTCCTACCCCACAGGAGTGTTGCAAGGATTAGTTCATGTATATTCAGCACCATTTTTCAAAGAACTGCACAAGAGCCAAACCCTTCGATTTTTTTCATCTGTTCCTTGCTCTGTCACTCCCTCCTGACGGGATGTGTTTCTCCCCTCCTGAGAAACAAACAAGCACGAGGTCAGCAAGAGTGGGAGGTGGGAAGCACATTCCAGGCTGCTCCTCTTCTCTCAAACCACAAAGGGCACCAAACCCTGCCATCCTCCCAGTGCTCTGTACAAGTGCCCAGCATCCTGGCCTCATCATGCAGCCCAGGGAGGAGCTGGACAGGGTACACAGCAGGGTGTTTAACTTCATCTCATCTCCTCTTCGGTTTCAAGAAGCAGGACACAAGGGTGAAGTGGCCATCCCCAGAGCCATGCAGCCTGTCTGTGCACCCACAGCAAGGCAGGGGGGCTCTGCACAAGCCCTGCTTTGCGGCTCCCCTTTTCAGACAAAATGCTGAAATTGAGCAGATGCTGCAGCCAAAGGGCGCGGAGCTGATGCATCCCAACCCTCAGGGAACATGCCAAAGCCTTGGCATTCAGCCTTGGCACGAGGGGATGGTTCACATCCAAGTGTATGACATTACACCTTGTGTTTGGTGCAAGTGCAGGCAAATCCCGTGTGGGGTATTTTCTCCTGTGCACAGACTTGTTGAGCCAGACCAAAAGGGCAATCCTGGGAGCAGAGCTCAGGTACGGGCAGCAGCAAGATGAGGACGTGGACAAATCACTGCAGAGTGCTGTGAGAGACAAGGTTGGTCAGCCTGCTGTTTACAAAACCCAAGATCATCAGAAAGGGTTAAAGAAAAAGCAAGTTAAAACAAGTCTAATCAAAGAGCACCTTCCCTTGGCTCCAGTGCCCGACATGCGGACATCCATGCAGATAACAAGAACATCCACTACTCCATCTGAGAGCAGTGAAATCAGCGTCAGCATGAACATAAAACCCACAGATGTTGCAAAAGTAAATTAAACTGAGTCACACATAAAATAAATTTTAGAAGGGTTGTTTTCAACACATTGCTTTGATAAGCTCAGAATGCCATTTTAAATGAAGAAAATAACCACAGTCTCAGTAGATGCATACATGCAAGAACAGCCCGTACCCCAAAATCTTCTGGGGTTTTTTAGATCGATTTTACTGAAGTGGGAGACAAAACCTATTACTTAATTTAGAGAAAAGTTTGTCAGTGAGTTTGACATCAGTAAGTCTGAAAAAAGTTTTGAAATCAGATTTGAGTTTAACATCAGTAAGTCTGAAAAAGGTTTTGAAATCAGATTAAGAAATCACTTAATTTTTCAGCATGACAAATTTTCTGTCACTTCCCACAGACGCTGACACTACACCGAGTATCTTTTATAGTAAGGATCATCAGCAGCACTGGCACTGCACACAAGCCAAATTGCAGTTCCACTTCACCCCCAGGATTTCCTTCAGGAACTCCATGCATCACATGGCCACTAGAGTTTAAGCCAATGCAATTCTAGTCCCTGAGTAGTAAAACTGACATTAAGGCACTGACAGAAGAGGAAGCATAGAAAAAGCAATGCAGCTATGATTTTCCACTAGCTTTCAGAGTACTGATGGCTTGCCTCTTTGATGTTTCTGCATAAGCACTGCACCACAGGCACCAGCACTGCCTAGCAAAGATGTTTGCTCCTCCACCTGGAAATGGATTTCAGCAGAATCACCCTCCAGGTGCTCTGCTATGCAGGTCTTCACCTATTAAATTGCCTTTAGTGACTAAACGTTATGAATGTGCTCAAATAAAGCAGAAATCCATAGGGAGATTTAATCCACAGAAATGCCTTAAACATTCTGCTTGGCATGAAACAGAATTCCCAGAGTTTCTCTCCTTGGTAGTCATGAACAGGAAGCCTTACTACAGGTAGCTGGCTCGACAGAGCATAAGTCTTGACTGAGTATGAAAAATACCATTAACTATATGATGTGAGTTGGTGGGAGGGTTGCTTTTTTTTTCTTCTCTGGGTTTTTTTCTTTTTGGCAAGGAAGTTCAAAGAGTAACACCATTTGTCTCAGGGATGGCGCCAGTTATAAGGCAGAAGTTACTGGGATAAGAGAATGATACTTACGATGTCAGTGGCTGCTAAATACTGACTGCACACTGTTACTTTGCAGAAATACTGCAAAGTACTTCACATCTCATCAGGATAATGACCATTGGGCTCCTGGAACACAGTTGTGTACCTTCCAGCTTCACTTACTCACAGCTCCTGAAACATGGAATCAGTTCAGCTTTTCTGAAAGGGAAACACCTCTAGCAGAGGGTGTTGGGAGGGTTACTGGGGGGTTTCTGGGTGTTTTCTCTGCAAACTGTAGGCAGACAATTTTCAGAAGTATACTATGTTGCACTAAAACAAAAACAGCCTTTCCCCAAAGAAAATAGAAAAAACACCCAAAACAAGACGGGAAAAGTACAGGTGAAGCAAAGCTGGAGAGACTCTTCGTTGCCATCCAGGATTCTGTCTCGGGAACTGGCCATAACCACTGATGCACGCACCAAGGAGAACCTTGTGGGGACCATACCTGGACGGCTTGGGAGACGGCAGAGGGGGCACACCTGGGATGTTCGGGAGGATGGAGCAGTGACCCTTCGGAGAGAGCGGTTAGGAGGGGGGCCGTGGCGGGCGGTGCCTACCTGGATGTATGCGCGCTGCAGGTAGCTGTAGGGTACCCTGCGCTGGAAGTCGGAGCGCACCTCCTCGGCGGCGCGGTGTCGGGACACGGCCCCCAGGAGCGGCTCCTCGCAGCGCCGCACGCAGTGTGCGCGCCGCAGCACCGAGCCGAAGAACGGCAGGTCCCCGGCCGGGCCCGGCGCCTCCAGCCGCAC